GCGGGCAGTCAGTTTTTGCGCCGCTTCACAAATTTGCAAATGAGCTGCAGACAAAAAATTACGCTGCGGAAATACACAAGAATTCTTGTGCAAAGAAAAACATACCGAAATCGTATCACGGATAGAACAAGCCTAAAAAAGTCAGCCGCTGGCCAAAAAACTCCAAAAAAACTGTTGCATATGACCTCAAAATCTATTAGCACGTCGAACTCTGGCGGCTATGAAATGCAATCGTAGCCGCCGCCCCCGAAGGGTTTTTTTTTGGTTTTCTTTTGGACTGCAAACATTAATGTCCAAAAACTGTGAAGTTGGCCCAAAGGCAGCAGCAGCAGCAGCAGAAGCTGAAGCAGCAGCCCCAACAGTTACTTCAGTTGAGCATCTGAGCGTCTGTCTGAGCATGTGAATCTGTGGCACGTAGGTCAACGCATCAGCAATCGCAGCGACTACATCGTCTGGCTGAGCACCAACAGCAGTCAAAGCCCGTCCATCTGTCCAGCTGTCTGTCTAGCTGCCTATCTGGCGGCCTTTAGCTACATCTTCAGAGTACAGCAAGAAAAAATTGTTTAAGTTTTGTTATTGCAAAATTTACATGCTTTTTGTTTGACGCATATTCACACCTGACTTTGTTTTTCTTGCGGTGCCTTTTGTCGGCGCATTAGCTGAACTCTTAATTGAAAACTGTGTTCACAACATGTTTTACTTATTCACGTAAGTTAGTTTGATATCTTAAAAGTACTCTTCTTATTACGATCCCTTTTTCATTCGACAAATTGATCATTACTCTTCATTTGTGTATATGGAACTTAAGTGCGGCAATGGCATGCATTAATTTAAACGAAACTCGTCTAAGATCACGCGGTAATTAAACGTTTGTTGCCATAATGTGCTGTGTGCTTGTTGTTGTTGTTGACCTAATCATTCATTCGTTATCTATGCGCTTGATTTACCGTATTTGGCATTTGCCGTTAATAACACAACAACAGCAGCAACAATTTAGCCCGATTCACAGGCCTTACAACATTAGCCGTTAAATTATTCAACTTAATTATAATTATAAATGATGCAAATATTAAATGATTTAACAGCTAAAAGTTCAGATGGCAGCAGACAGTATCACAAAATGCGACACAATTGTCCAGGTGTTCCATCAGCCAAATGATGCCAATAAGAAAAAAGCTTTTAATTGCTTGGCTCGACTCTTCTTCTTGTAGTTGTTGGTAGAAACTTGCAAAATCCTCTCAAAAAGCAATATGAACAAAAGTAGACTGAATGGTCTTTTTTTGACTTTCAAAAAACTTGTTGTTGTTGTCTGGGAAACGTAGCGCAAGTTGAGTTGTTGGCGCGATTTATGCTTTTATAATAACATTTTTCACACAATTAATTTAAAAGCGCACGTAAAAAAGCAGAATCTAAATGTTTAACATTTTAATTTGCATTGTTTTTGGCAGCACACATATTGCGTTAAATGAATTGTAGAAATTAGCATAAACTTGCCTATTTGAAAGTGTTAAAATCAAAGACTTAAGGCACGAACTTGAACTTGTCAAACTGCAATGCAGCTGAAAGTTTTTAGCTGTGATCTATCGATACTATTCCCAACTTATAGACAAGACGTGTAGCCAGCGCCATTAGCCAGCAAAATGACCAGCTGCAACGCGCCGCTCCCACATCGGGTTTGAACATTATCTTTCGCTTATTTATATATTTACTTGGCTTTTTTTCTTTTGGAAATTGCTTTGAAGATGCGGCAATTTTATGCAATGTTCACAACAGGAATTGTCAGCAATGCCCTGACCCGCGCCTTTGGCTGCCGTTTCATAATGCAGTGAATGCAGTAGGTGCACATTTCGCATGCCATTCGATAAAGGTGAAATTTCTGCATGGCATATGCAGACACAATGCACAAAACGAAGCAACAACAAATTGAAATGAAAACAATTTATCTTTAGCTACCCTTCCTTGGAAAGGTATCTTACTATAATGGCTTCAAATGTTAATGTCAACAAGTTGAATCGAACAGAGGCCTTTTTTAGACTAAAGTCGCCATCTCTCTTAGGTATACATAAATATATATATAATTTTCTTGATATTCTGCTCGCTTCCTTAGGGTATAAAATATTCGGCTCGTTCGTCGACATCAACTCCTTTTCTCGTTAGTTGTTGAGCGGGCCGCACACAAAGAGGCTGCAAAAGGTTCGCTTGAATAAAAAACATGCACGAGATAAAAATGCCAAAACAAATAAATCAAAACTCCAAATAACACGTATACGACACGTTGCACACCGAGACGAAGACAAAGCGAACCTAAGCAAAATATTTTCGTTTAGCATGGAGGATGCCTCAGTTTCCATATCAGTTGCTGATGCTAAATGTGTGTGTGTGTGTGTGCGCAGTTTCAACACTTGCCCGACCAACAACAAATGCTTCCTTCATGTCAGCGCAGCAGCCGTAAAGGTTAAGCGGCAACTTGACAAAAAGGTTAAAACGATTTAACAGACATTTGGCGGGCCTGTCTGAAGCGCAGATTGGCCGATACAAGCAGCGAACACCCGCATTGCGTCCTGGACAGCAGCAGCGAGCAGTGTGTATATGTGTGTGTGTTTGTATATGTGCTTGAAGGCGGAACAAATTTTTCTGATTGTCGCGGCTCTTGCCTGGCCAAATGTTAAATCCAAGAGCCGGAGTGTCTTTATTATTATTTTTATGGCTGCTGCAAACACCTGTTGCCATGGCCCCAGTTGACAGTTTTTTGCTGCAGTTGTTGTTGTGGAGTGATAATGATTCAGCAGCAGCCACAGCAGCAGCAACAGTAACAGCAGTAGCCTCATCTCTGCAGTTGCAACTTCCTTATTTGTCATTGTAGTCTTTGGATATTTCGCTTTTTACTTGCTGATCTTTCATTTCTTTTTACTTTCGTAGCGGGCGCTCCCGCCATGTGAATGCCCAGGCATATCCCATTTATCATTTCGAAGATGATTGAATTGAATTTCTTGTTTTCTTCTGTTGTCTGCGCGTTGCGAATTGTGTAAACATTTTGCTGGCAAGTGCAAGTAATGAATTCATGTTATTGAATGACTCTCAAATTGATTTCGGCTAGGATTAGCTATAAAATGAAACTAATAATTAACAAAGCGCAGAAACATTAATACTTATTATGTAAGTGTTTAAAGTTTTATGAATTTATATTTTAATTTCTTAGCTCATTCTTATAGACTGTTAAGCAAGGCTTGCTGTTTAATCATTAAGCGTAACAAATATCTATTACATATCTTAGTTGATACCTATAACTCTCATTCAGTTTGACCAGAAAATATATTTAATTTCATTTGTTTTATTTTATTTTATTTATAAATTACTCAGCATATTCTTAAAACTAACTAAAATTTAAATAGTCGCTTTCAATTTCAACTTTGCTGTTGCCGTTAGCTGAGCCTTGGCAATGACAAAACTCTTGCAGGTAATTGCAAATTGAAAAACGTGGCCAAAACGAATCGCGGCAATCAAATCAAATTAAATATATTAAAGAAGCATGCAACGCTTGAACTTTAAGAGAATATAGTTGTACAGTTATTTATTGATGAATTCAAAACGTTTTATTAAGCTCAACAGCCAGGTGCTTCCATTGGTCTTCTGTGTGTTATGTAATTTGTGTATTTGATGAAATGCAGACAACAACAAACACAACAACAACAACAATTTAAATTTAGTTGTGAGAACAAACAAGAACCCCAAATCCAAGGCAGGCAACTAATTTAAATACAAAGAAGCATCCACCAGACAATGCATAAAAAAAGCTTTCGCAAAGCCGCACCCACAGTCAGTCCGCCTCCGCTCCGATCCGTCCCATATGCGGCTGCATTTAATGTTAAGGTAAAATTTATGTGCACATAAAAAATGTATTTCGATATTTTGTGCTGCTGTTCTTCAATTTGCATTGCTATTGAAACGTCGAGAATATAAAGTCTTGGCTAGATAATAAAAACTGGCTACCGATCGAAATAAACTTAGCTGAGAAATTAAAATTGAAAATTGTTTAATTGAATGCAAAGAGTGTCACTGGGTAAGCCGGTTGCCTGCTAGCGTCTCGCTTTTCCACTCTTGATATTGTTCGCAGTTGTGCAAATGAAAACAATTATTTGAAATTATGCAAAGTACGCAGCGGCAGCAACAGCAGTAACAACAACAACAACAACAGCTGCAAAAATGAGCTGACGGAAGTGACAACGACGCCAAAGTGAATGTCTGCAGAGTTTGACTGACTGACTTAGTAACTGACTAACTGAGTGAATACACGGCGCAGCTGCTGCATTTGCTGTTACCCTGTGTCCAGACCTTAACTAATTTTATTACACATACGCCTGGTAGGACGCCTTTAACCGAGCTAAGGCTAGCCGATTGATGGATTGATGAATTTCGTAACTCAAACATGCGCATGGCTCTTGTCACTGAATATATTTATTACACATACTCCCAGACATCCACTAGTATAGATAAATATCCAGTTAACGCTTTTTGTCTAGCTTTTTCTGATTGACAAATTGACTGTTAAGCCTACAATATGTTTATCCAGCTCTACATGATATCTATGCGACTGTCTATTTTACTAGTCTTTGGCATTTGCCTTATAAGATTTTATCAGTCACAAGCCCTGCGAATCAGTGTGCCTCATCTATATGGGCATATGCATATGCATCTATCTAGCCATCTCACAGAGACACTAGCTATCTATAACTTGTCTATGCTGGCTGCGCAATGGCAATTGTAATTGCATTATGTAATTAATTTGCAATGAATTTTTGTCCATGCAGCGCGTACGCTCGCACAATTATATATTTTGTGTCTTTGTTGATTGTCTTATTTTCATTATCTAATATGCCAGTGCGCCAAGTATGTGATTATGCTTTTCGGCATCCCACGCGCTGTAGCAATAAATATTCATAATTTTGTTAACAAGCCAGCAACAAATTGTAAACTCACTTTTTGTTTATGTTTATTTTTAGGCATTTCAGTGCACAAAATGCGGCGTACACAGATACAATTGTTATGGTGTGGTAAGTTTGTTTAATGATATGAAAATATTAAATTTTACATATACGACTTACTTAGAATTAATTAAAAATATTTTCAATAATAGTTCTGTTTCGTGTTTAGCTCATCCTCATTCGATGTTCGTTTGCTCATCACAGCTTTAAAATGTGAAAGTCAATGCTATGTTATAGATCTCCTTGGGGGCTTGTCAAGGAAATGAATAAAGATATTTATTACATTTCATAGGAATGCACATTTAAAAATTTTTAATTTATTGGGTCTTTCAATTTGTTGTTCAAAACTTTGACGAAAGCGACGCCCACATGTTGCAACAATCCTTGACCTTGTCACCGCAACAGATTCCCACAATCCATTAACACTAACGGCACATTTAAGCCAGGCCAAAAGCGACGCGTGACGCGTGACGCATGCGTAGGCAGCAGATCCACGAAAAAGAGAAACAAACAAACATTAAAAAGGCGGATTGAGTTTAAAAGTGTCTTTGTCTTGAGCCAAGCTGTTGTTTATGTTGTTGTTGCTTTTATTGTCGTGCGACAAAAACGTGTTGACCCAAGCCGAAGACATGGGTTTTCGCTGAGCTGTTAATTAATGTCTATATGTCTTTCCTAGTTGAATGCCTGAGAAAAAGCTGATGGAAATGCCACACATTTAAACACTCATTAGTCTAGCCCAGCTGACCCAGACCCAAATGTCAAAAGACCAAAAGATGTTGCTGCCTTAACTAAGCGTCCAAAATCAACAATTCAACTATTGAACAATGCAAATATTTGTGTAATTGGCAAGTGACCAACACTGCTTGACGCTTGTCCACCTGGCGTATACCCAATGTGAGCTTATTCGCTTCGCTTTTTATTTCTTTTGGGGCGTTTCAATCAACGTGCACAAATTATGGGCAATTGTTTAATTATCTCAGGCAGCAACACCCTCGATAAAGCAAACGTTACCATCTTAGAGTCACTGATTCACGGACAATTGTATAATGACTCACATAATCACAACGATTATGCAGCAATCGAACCTTGAATCTTGCGGTCGAGAGTTTGGCTGTGGTGTCGTCTTCATTTGCAGCCGCCAGTTAAATTGTAGTTCATCCGCAAGCATCTCGCATTTTACATCTTTGCCTCATACATTTAATTGTTTTTATGCTTTAAAAATTTAATTATTGCATTTGTCGGCTTGAGGTCAGTAACTCGCCACACTATCTCAGGCGCAGTCACCATCACAGTCACCATCGCAATCACAATCACAGTCACAGTCAGAGTTTTTGCGTAACTCTGCAATCTATAGGTATATTTGTATATACGAAAAGTCAAGGTTTGGGAAGCTAATTTTATATGATATATAAAATCAAATTTATCAAAATTTCAAGACATATGGTTAATTTATAAATAGCTTAAGTTTGCAATTAGTTATATTCGATGAGCTCCAATGATATGAAATGACAACTGGTCATTAGTTTTGGCTTCAGCAGAAATAATAATAAATTGGCAATTACAAATATTTTGTTCTTTTATATAATTACTAATCGCTTGAGCACAAATCCTTATAAATGATTTCAAAAATATATTTTTTCTTTAATATTATTTTCGCATCTGAAGATTGCTTGAGTCATAAGTGACGAAATTAAGTTGATAAGCTTCATATTAGGAATACTTTTAGTTGCAATTTGAAAAATATTATAATTTATTTAAATTTATTTACCGATGTTTTTCATTACTTTCCGCAGTGCTTCTCCTGCTGGCATACTTGAGCCAAGGCAGTGCTGAAACGAAGGTAATAGCACAGTTCTCTTGAATTTAAGCCTAATCTAATGTATCCATTTTACTTACAGCAATTCCGCACGCCAGCGCGCGTTCTGGCCAAGCAGACGGGCGCTACACAGTTTGAGGAGGAGCGCTACGAGACGCACACAAACTGCAACGAGCACAAGCACCATCTGAAGAAGCGCGCCTCCGACGAGGACGTGGACTATGAGGTCTATCAGGGTGTTGTGGGCAGGCCAGGCATAGATTTTCCTATCTATCCGCGCATACCAAAGACCACATTCAGCTGTCGCTCCTATGGCAATGGCTACTTTGCCGATATGGAAACGGATTGTCAGGCGAGTAAAGCAGGAACTTGGCTTTGAAAACTTTTGATTAATTCGTAATTTGACTTCTTACAGGTTTTTCACATATGCGAGGAAGGCCGCAAGATATCATTCCTTTGCCCCAACGGCACCATCTTCCAGCAAAGCGAGCTTACGTGTGACTGGTGGTTCAAGGTCAACTGTCTGGGCTCCTCCGGTTACTATGCAGAGAGTTCTGAGATTTTGAACAAGCAGCGCGTTCATCGTGTTCGTCCTTCAGTGCCCGTGCAGGGCTTTAATATTGTTGGCGGTGGATTGAATATCAAGCCAAAGGTAGCTCCAGTTGCGAGTCAAGGACGTGCCATCACTCGTGGCGGTAGCAAGTCCGACAGACGCATCGACTCCACGGAGGAGCTGCATGCTTCTCTGGAGAGCGTCGACTTCGATGATGTCTCCGGAGAGAAGCAGCGCAAAGTGCTGCCTAGCATAGACAACAACAGCAACGACCATGAGTCGCAAATCACAGCCGAGAGTTCGTCGTTTGTGAGCGGCACAGGCAAGCGACGCAACAACAACAACAACAACAATAACAACAACAACAACAATAAGAACGGCAACAGCAACAACAATGGAAATTCCAATTCCAGTCCTAATAGCAGTGATGATTCGACCATTTTGAAGCCAACACGAAGCCGCAGCAGCGTCAGTAGCGGTTCCTCTCAGGAGTTTAGGGAGCGCGCACGCAATGGCCAGCGTGGACAACAGCGCTACAAAGATCTCGAAAGCGAGGAGCAGTACAGCAAGGAGAAAAACAAAGAGAAGCTAAAGGACAAACCAGAATTCTTCGAAGCCTACTCAATACGGCCCGTTCAGCAGACGACACCACATTATACGCCCAGCAGCCATTCCACTGTGCGGCGCCTAGAGCCTAGCAAGTCAACGCCCTTCTATACGCCAACTGTGCCCAGCGTACCGAAGTCCAAGTCCACAGAAGGCAAGCTGAACTATATTAAGGGAGGTCATGCCGCTACTACGCCCAATCCGAATCGTTTTGGCAGTGCAGCCATCTCGGGTCTGTTCCTGGAAGCCAAGCCCACAGCTGGCGCCAGCCTGGAACTAGACAGCACCTACAGACCCATCATCATAGGCATGCGTCATCATTACGATGTGGCCAGCTCCGGGGAGTTGAAGCAGACGCCCAAGAAGAACGAAGGTCGTGACTATTTGGCCAGCTCCGGGGAGTTGAAGCAGACGCCCAAGAAGAGCGAAAGTCGTGACTATTTGCCCACAACGCCAGCACCGACGGCTACGAGCAGCGGACCCACCTACTTGCCCAAAGTAGGTGCAGTTGTGCCCAGATCCAATTCAGCTGCAGGCGGTGAGGAGGCTCTGCTTTTTGCTCCTAACCCTGTCAAGGAGGATTCTGTTTATCGCAATGTCCAGGATATGCTCAAGACGGTTAATCTGCTAAAGGATAAATTCGAAGATGTGGAGCTGCATGCACAGCCTGCGAGCAACGGACGCGCTGGCCTGGAAATTCCACCCTCTTCCGGACCAGATGCACTCGTATCGCTGGCCAAGTACTTTGCCCAGGAGCACAATGAATCAAGCAATTCTCTGGTCAAGTCGGAGAAGAGTGGAGTGCACACCAAGCTCTCGGTGAAGGCGCCAGCACCAATATTGCCCACGGCCAAGCCCTCCGACACGACGGCCACACTAACTACCTCAGAGACGCCGCCGAACATCAGCGAGCAAGCAGATGACATCAAACAGAGTCTGCTCAGCGCCAAGACTGTGCAGAAATATAGCAATCTTTTTGGCTTGAAGGCTGTCAAGGGCCGTGGATCACTTGAGGGTCAGGCTGATATAAGCGCGGGCTTACTGTCTAATGAGACACAGTCGCCAGCCAAGTCGGCGGACTATCAGCCATTCCCACAAATTGGCAGCACCGGCTCAACCATTGGAAAACTGGCCGAGCAGCCCGAGTCGCGGAAGATAGCTCAAATCTTCTCGAACGCACTGACCAGCTACCTTGATAATCCCGGAAGCTTCCGTGCGGAGCTGGCAGCACGTGCGCGACCCACAGAGCCGCCAAACTTTAAGCCCGTGACTACAACGGATGCCTCATTATTCAGCGATGGCACGGCCAAGTACTATTTGCCCACCAAACCCTCACCGGATGTGACCACGCCTCAAAATATTGCGCTTGAGATAAACCACAAGTTCGACTCAACTCCTGCGCCGGAATACTCCACGACCACAGAGCTGTACGAGCTGAGCACGAGCAGAGGTCAGGACTCGGAGCTGGAACTATCGGCAGAGCTGTCGCCGCCCAGTCCCGACTCGGGCGAAGGCGACGAGTTCCTGCAGCAGCAGCAGACGCAGTCGTTTGTCAAGTCCCGCAACGATTTGCTGAAGGACGCACGTCCCCAAAAGCTCATCACGACACACAAGCCCACAGAGCACCCATGGGCGCTGAAATCCCAAACAGACTTCCTCGATCCACTGACCATCAACGATGCGCTGATGAAGGAGCAGCGCACTACGACCACTACATCCAGCACCTCAGCTCCGTTCACCTATTCGCCCAGATCACTGGGCAGCAGCGCAGCCACAGTCGCGCCCGTGCACTACGAATGGGATGATATATTCCGTAGCTATGACATACCACGCGATGCGCTGCCGTCTAGCAGCGGGCTGCAGCGCATTGCCAACAAACTGTTTGGCGGCCTCAACGAACAGGAGGCGCTTCATTTGCGCAACGTGATGGCCAAGGCAGAGCATGATCGCCAGGTGCTGAGCCTGCTGCTGCTGCTCATCCAAACCTGCGACGATCACAATGGCAAGGCATTGGAACGCTCTCGCAAGCATCTGCTTAATGCACTCATCGACATCGACAGCAAGATACCCAGCAAAAATGCATCCAGGCAGCAGCAGCAACAGCTGGCAACGACTACGTCGCGTGTGCCCGTGACCACATTCCGACGCACTGGCAATGCGGATTACTATACAAGCACCACGGCCGGCTATACGACCAGCACGGAACTGCCGCCGTTGTCCACCAGCACCACAGCGCCGGGCAGCTACGAGGAGACCACCAAATTCGAAATACGCGTCGAGGATGTGGACGATGTTGAGTTGACGGCAACGACATCGACGCCAACGCCGGCGCACCCAGAGATCCATTCGGATCGTCGGGCGCTCGAGCTGCTCAAGTCATTATATTCGCTGGCATCAAAGTTTAGCAGCAGGCGATAGGGTTGCCAACGGTTGCCGATTCCTAATGGCAGTGTTGCCAACTGTGCGCGTAAATGCTTAACTTTTAGTCAACTCTCTATTGCCCCCGGCTCACCGCGAACCCATCTACTTGCCTTGCAGCCGAGTATCTTAGTTAAAACTTTGCGAAATTATATTTTTCGACAGCTCTTCTCCTTGTTAATGCATTTTTCGCAACTAGTTTGTAAATATGTAAAAGCTGAAAAAACGAACAAATACTCGATTATCATATAATACTCGGAGGATCTACAGTACGCACTGCATCGAGTTGTATTTAAATAGTATCTTTTTAGTTGTAATTACAAACTACGAGTATTTTTCAATTAACGAATCAATTAATTAACTATGAACAATCTATATGCCCATATATATAAATATGTTGTCTTTATGTTGTGCTCTTTTTTGTAAATATTTATTTAACGTTAATAAAGTACATATAAAAATAAATAAAAAAAATAAATAAAGTCTTTGCAATTATTTGAGAAGCTGAGTGATCATAACAAGTGTGCTGGAAATATCTAGGAAACATCTAGGTAACATGTGGCTTACCTACATAAAGGAGTTCAAATAAGGATCATTTGTTCTTTACCTCTGATTTGTTTACGATAGATTTAACTACTTTGGACGCAGCTTTTATTTATCGTGAAATAATAATAATAGAAGTTCAAGCGAAAAAACAGAAGATGTTTGATAGACATCATAATATATCCACATTGAAGGTCTAATCTATATAGGTCCACTCTAATGTTTACGCATTATTGAACCTCATAAAAAGATTAGTCCGCAAAGCATACTAAATCAAGCAGCAGCAATAAATCAATAATCATTGGTTGCACATCAAATAACTCAACTTGGATAATCGCAATGCTTCACACAAATTCATGTCTGCAGCTCGAACTGAACGGCTGCTGCTGCTGGCCAAGCGGGAAAGGTCAAATAGAACAAAAACCCATAAAGCGCTCATGTAATCAGGCAAAAATTTAAATATTTTTGTCATTTTGAATTTTCAGACAGAAAAAGAAAAAACTGATTCGAATGTTATTGTCAATGGCTCAAGGGCGCAATGGATTCAGATTTCAATTGGATTGCACTTGAAATGCAATACATATTCAATTTAATTACGTATACGTAACGTAGAGAATTGTTACGTATACGTACGAGCTTGCAGGCATATCTGATAGCTAAGCAACAATGGTTAATTCAGTGTCATAAATCTGCTAAAGCGCAGGCACGAAACCGAACTGACGAACTGTCAAGCAGACGAACTGTCGATCCACATAAACATAAATTTCACAAAGATGCAGCCCGGCTTAGAATATTCATCTATAAATGCCTGCTGCTCTACGGCTGTGGCTTGCAGTTTGTTCTGACGAGTGGAGTCGCTTGCAGGCAAGAGCCTTAAGGATTCGACATACAATCAGCTTGAAACTTGGAACTTATTCTCGTCATGCTGGTAGAACGTTACGCCGCCGTCTTGGCAGGTAAGTTAACCAAACACAACTGCGGCTCAGGGTCGGCTTGGCATGGGGCATGGGCAGCTGGCAGCTGGCAGCTGGCAGCGCGTAACTCAACAGTGACCGACCCGCCTCATCATTATTAGCACTTCCTTTGGAACTACAGTAGCTGTTGCCGTTGCTATTTCTGTTGTTGTGGGGCGTCTGTCTGTCTAACTTTTTGCTGCCTTGCATATTTACGATTCATGCGTCTTGTTTTTGGCCATAAGCGAACAGCTATCGCAATGCTTGGTAGCCAATTGATGAGGCAGTGCGTTCTGCCACAGTAGAGCGAAGAATACCAATAGTTTATAAAAATAAGCCTCAAGTTTATTCGCTTTACTTGGTCAAGTCAATTCACACATATATTAAATAATCTTTCTATGATATAAATCAGAAACTCAATTAATTCTCCGATTTTCACATGGAAATGCGCAACTTTGCCCCACTGTGACAGACACCTGAGTAGGAAACTGATAAATAAAGATCGCAGAAGATGTAGAACCGTCCGCATTTGATATCAGTACCAAGCATCGCATCGCATCGCATCTGGCAACGTACTTGGCCCTAAATCGGACATAGACTGTTCGATGTCGAAGCTGCGCCTCAGTTCATTTCCATTTGTTGCGTCGATTGGTTCGAAGCTCGGAGCGAATAGTCAAATCTCTGCCAGACTAAACGCAATTAGAAAGCTTTAATGATTTTGCATTCACTTCTTTCAGTGTTCCTGCTGCTTTGGAGCGGAAGTGGAGCACAATTGCAGGTACAGGTAGGTCGATCTTTGCAACGTGGCTGAATCCTTTTTAAAAAATGTTTTTCCTTATCAGGCACAGAGCGGCTATAACTATGTGCGACCCGAGCTGGCCACCACAGCGGGTGGCGGAGCTGTTGTGGGTCGATTACAGCCTGGCGCCTATCCCACGGGTGCTACGCTTCCCTTGACGCCTGCACCGGCCACCGCTTATGGCGCCGGACTGTTTCCATCTCCAGCTGTGGGCTATACATCTAGTGGACCGGCAACGACTGCATTTGGAGCACCTGCAGCCGCTGGGGGGAGCACCGTCAATCTGCCAAGACGTCCCACTGGCTCTGGCTTACAGAGTGTATCTGCTGCAGCGCGCGGTGGCCCGTATGGCCCACAGACGCAGTACAGCAACACAGCGGTTGGCTCCTCAGGCCAACGTACGTCCCCTAGAGAAGATTACTCCGATGGTGCCGATGGCGACTACTCGGCCATACCTGGTGTGCCAGGCGTCGATTATCCTGTGTATGCCCAAGTGCCGCGCACTAACTTCGACTGCGCCCAACAGCCACTGCCGGGCTACTATGCGGACATCGAAGCTCAATGCCAGGTCTTTCATATCTGCGCACTCAATCGCACTTACTCCTTCCTGTGTCCCAACGGTACAGTGTTTAGCCAAGAGACACTAGTCTGTGTGTGGTGGAATCAATACGACTGCGTCTCGGCTCCCAGCCTGTATGCTAACAATGCCTACATCTATGACTATAGTGGTACCAGCTCCAGTTCTAGCAATGTCAATCTGAATGCCAATGTGTATCGATCTGGCGCGCAGCCTGTGAATACACCCTACGGTGCAGTTGCTCCATCGTCCGCCCCAGGCGTTGGACTCCGTGCTACCAGTGCATCACAGGTCGCAGGATACAATGCACAACGTGGTGCCTACGCCGCACCCTCACCCTCGCCGACCCAGTCACAGTCTCTGTATGGCGCTGGAGCCATTATACGCCCGGGTGGTGTCTCTGGCACAGTGCCTGGTACGGGTGCCAATCGCTTAGCGCCAGCCACAGCTGCGGCAGGATTGGCAGCCACTGCTGCGGGCTTGTTGCCCGACAATGCTGTGGGCAGCTTTGCTCAGCCTGTTGTGGCAGTTGGTAACCGCGAGTATTTGCCGCCGGCCAGCGTTGGCCAACGCCAGCAACGGACTCAAGTATAAGCTTACACGAATTTTAGCATCTGTACCCGGTTAAATGACAATAGACCCGATTGACCCTAGGCTTAGTTTAATTAGCAATAACATACATACACACATACACATAGGAGCTCCTCACACAACTTTTGTATTTAAATCTAAACTCATATGTATTCCGATTTTTACTCTATAAAAGGCATTACTCTCAAGGCGTTTTGTATCTGTATGTTATATATTTACAATGGTGGAACTTGAAATGTAGTTCGTTCAATTTTAGTATTAAAAGAATTTGTGTAGATAAGAATACTATTTAAATAGTAACTACAGAGGATTCTATAAGAAAAAAGATTTTTAAACTTAAAACAGGTTGTCCTTTCTATCATTGCCTATTAAGAGCACTTAGAAAATCTAGTTGTAGAGCCTTCTTGGACATAGTTCGCTTCGTCCTCGCATCCTTAAGTAATTTTGCATAATGTTGCTTGAAATCTGAACGTAAATACATCTGCCGACCCCGCTTTAGCTTGGGTTCGCCCTGCTTTGGCAGCGGTATAGTGGGATTAAAAGCCATTTGGGTGCTGTCGTACTGTGCGAAAAGTTCATGGGCATTGCTGGAGGTGAAAGATAGATACATCAGTAACTATTAAGCTTACAGTTATTTCATATATAACTTACAGTTTTCCGATGTCAGTGGGCAGCGCACCCTCGCCAGATGCTGGCACACCATTTGCTATATGCAATGCCATGCGACGCACTGTGGGATGATAATGTCGAGCAAGTAACGATAGTTCATAAAGCGATGTACTCTCCGCATTGCAATACTCAGGATCATCTAATTCGGGATCATAACGACCCGAGCCAATTGTGGTGTCTGTATCGAGCAGCGCATCCAGTACCGAGGTCAGCTGGAATGTCTGCTTAATAGTGCCCAACGTGGCCAAAGTGCCATTGTGCAGCAAATGTAGGCTGCCTGTGAGTAGTCGTTTAACAAAGGCCATCAGACGTTGTTGGCTCATGTTGCGCCGCCGTTTAACCAGCACTTCATCCAGGGTGCGAAGGATAATGGAGAAATCATCATGATTCTTGCCGGCCTGCACGACCAGCATATTGCGATAGAAATGCTGATAAAAGCGTATGGGATCTATGTTCAAGACTTCACCCTGACCCGACAAGATAACGAATATGGTTTGAATGCAATGCAGCTGCTCGCGATAACCCAAATCCTGTTCTTCGAGTATGCGATTTAGCACATCTATGAGATCGGCAAAGAATTCTAGATTTATGACATGAGCGAATCTGTAAGATGCGATACAAATTAGATAATACTTTTGGTTTTATTCATTTGAGTACTCACTCAGCCAGACCCTCTAAAATTGCACTAAGCACCCGCGACGTGGGATCATTCTTGAGTACACGGAAATATATGGTGAACACCATTTTGATAATTTCCGTCAATTTGTGGTGCTTGGTCTGTTTATTTTCCTCGGCTCGCGTCTCCTCCAACTCTTTGTTAACCTCGGTGAGTTTTTTGCGACGCTTCCGCTCCTTTTTTGACAAGCTCAGCAAGCGCTGACGATGGGACTCCAGTTTCTTTTGTTTCAGTTCATTTTCCTTTTCTGCATCCAGGTTTACGTGCTTGATTTTGAGCCCCATCATGCATGTAATGCACTCGACATGCACATTGTTCTGCTTGGACTTGATCAAGTGATTGATGCGACGTACAATAAATAACGTCATATCTAGCTTTTTGTCGTTGCTGAACAACGTGCGGAAACATTGATTGACGGCTACGCGCATTGTTCCATAGTTGCAGTTGAGCATATAGACCAGGAGTTGGGCTATGTTTTGGACGTAGTTGAAGTAGGGATGCGATATTAATAGGTCGCACATGCACTGTACGGCTACCGAGGCCATTTTAATGGATTGTGGCGTCTTGTGACCACCCCGCTTATTGACCTGGGCCGTTAGGTGTTCCAGTTTCTGCAGGAACTTCTTAAATTGTTGCAGCAGCGCATTTTCAAAAGTGACACGCTCTAATGTAGCTTTGCGCACCGTTTGCATCTTGGTATCTACCTGGCCCACTCGATACTCTGGGAGAATATCCTTGAATATCTCAGTAACTGATATCATCGCCAATTTGCGCACGGCGAGAAGATTAGGAATGCCAGTTTCAGGGTTAACCTCGTTCATGAGCTCGTAAAGCGCATTAAAATTGCGCATCTTATCCTCAGGCTTCTCTAAGATGCCAGAGCAGATTATGCCTATGCGATATTTTTGCCGCTCGATTTCCTGTTGTCGGGCAATTAACAAATCTGTGGTTGACACAAGTTTTTGCTTGGGAACGGGTGCCTCATCGTTCACTACATCATCGTCGCTGTCCTCGAATATATCATCACTGTCTTCCTCGTTCTCATTCTCTTCATCATCCTCCTCGGACTCCTCCTCTGCCTCTGCTTTATGTTTTTGTCTCGGCACATAATCAACCTCTGTGGTGCGCGTTATAATTTCGCCGTCGCGAGATTTAATGGGCAACAAATTAACCTTTATCTTTTGTGCTGCCTGCTCTTTTTTGCTAGCTGTTGCGTAGGCCATTTCCAGACCAACCGATTGCTGTTGTTCCTCCACAGGAGCTGCCTTAGTCTTGCGTTTGCGTTTGTTTTCTTGCAGTAGTGCCAGATCATCGCCGTCCAACATGTCCGCAATGTTGTCCAGCAGTAGATCTCCGCCAATGTCATCATCATCCTCGTCTACATCGAGTTCATTATGTAGTCCTAGTGATTGCCGTTTATTTTGCTTCTTGCGCTGGGCTAGATTATCTCGCTTATGGGCCTTTTGTGAAAAGATGTTTTGTCCATGTTCACGTTTAGAACTTAGTTGTTCGCGTTTTTGTTTAATTTTCTGTTGTTGCTGTTTACTTAGCGGTGCCTTTTTTGATTTCAAATGAGCGGCACGCTTGACCGAGCTGATTTTCACTTTTTTCTGCAAGTGTTGAAAGTTCTTAGCTTATGTTGTATAAGAGAATGGTAACTATAATACTTACAGTGCCCATTTTATTTAATTTTAAGCAAATAAAATCCGCTATTTAATAAACTAAACGCGAGCACATGGGCGAGCACTTGCTAATAGTGTTGAGACTTCACCGATAGCTCAATATCGATAGCACTAACTATCGAAATATTTAGGTATCGACCGCCGCCAGCTGCAATTTCAGTTCAGTTTCAGTGTGAAAGACATATCTGTCGTTTTGTTTACATTTAGCTATATTATCACAATGTCAGACGAAGAGGATGATTACATGTCCGACAAGTTTTTGGCGGGGTAAATTATCCATAAGCTTGCTACATATTCGCCTTTTTTAAATTAATATCGCTCTTACAGTTTACAAGAAGTGCGCCCCAGCTTGGTAAACAATCGCGCGAAAAAGCGTCTGATTGAAGTGGAAACAAAGCAGGCGGAAAACAGTAAACGGCAGCGCGAAATAGCGAAAACCTATACAGTTGACAATGTTCGGCTTCAAGAGTCTCTTAACAAGCCCATTACTGCGGACAATAAAGGCTTCCAGCTGCTGGCCAAAATGGGCTACAAGGCGGGCAGTGGACTGGGCAAACAAGCAGACGCACGAATTGATCCCATTGGGTTCAGCATTAAAAACGATCGCGGGGGACTAGGGCGCGAGGCAGCGATTGCCGAGCTTGCAGCCAAGCGACAGGAGCTGCGGTTACGCAAAGCAGGCATTCAATCTGTCGATGAAATCAGCACTGAAGCATATCGTCGTCGAGCTACACAAAAAGCCGAAGAACGCAAGCTCAGCTACGATTTAAAGCGTTGTCAGCAAACATGCGAATCTTTGGATTTGGCAGCAGGTGTCACGGAACCAGAGCTGGACTTTTTCTGGCCACCCAAGCCCATAGAACCAGGTACAGAGACAGATGAAAGTGAGTCAGTAGCATGTGAAGCAGAGCCCGAGGAGGAGAAAGATGAACAATATAGTGGAGCTGAGCAGTTAGAGCTGCTCACGAGCTACTTGCGTACAGGCTATACATTTTGTTATTGGTGTGGAACGCACTACGACAGCATTGAGGATTTGGACAGCAATTGTCCCGGTGTGACACGGGATGAGCATTAGCTTAAGATCTATTTTCATTATATCATTAAATGTTAGTTTTACAAAATACGTGCACATTTATATATATTACAATAAAACGTAGTCCAAAACAGTTATATATAGCGGTGTACGTGGGTTGAGTCGGAATTAGCTACACGCGCCCTTCCAACTTCTGTATAAGATCATGCGTTTGCTCGATCACGCTATAGATGAATGGCCGTTCCATGGGATCGATGCGCAGCATATACTTTATTAATTCATGCATATCCTGTGGAATATGATTGAATATAGTTATCTGCCCTTAGGGTATTAACTTATTGACTTACCTCTGTATAAATGGAATCTTCAGGAATGTTTACATTGCCACTAAGCACGGCCAAGGCGACGCTATCACCACGCTCATAGATGGGATCAAATGGACTGTTAAAGTAGCACATTGCATACAGAACACAACCGAGGCTCTGTGAATAAAAGCATGCATTAAAATTGACTATAATACGCCATATATGTATATTATTTACCCAAATATCCGTGCGCTCATCAATGGTGCAATATGTCTTCACAGTAAATAGTTCGGGCGCCCGATAGACAATTGAGCTACGCTCCTCAGCCTCGTCTTGGAGCCGTTGCGCATCCGATTGCCCGCAAATTTGCAGCCGCGCCTCCGTCATCGAGCCGAGGTCCACTATGATGGGCTCAAACGAATCGGATAAACATATATTGGCAGTTTTCAAATCACGATGCGCCAGTGGCACTGGCTTTGTTTCATGTATGGCACGAAGGCCTTCGCAGACGCCCAAAAAGATTTGCAAAATCTGCGCCTCGGGCATATGGTCTTGTTTACGGGCGCGCAGCTGCAGATGATCCGACAGCGAGCCATGCTTGTAGTAAGGCAATACAATGAACAACGTGCTCGTTGTGTTTATCACAATGTCCGCCTGGCCATTCAGTTCGTAGTCAACAACGCGAATGACATGTTCCGAATCGATTTTGCGACAGTTTTCGATTTCACGGAGGGCAATGTTCTGATCCTCGATGCTGTGGCAAGTGATTCGCTTTATCGCATAGCATCGCCGCGTTGACACATTCTCTGCCAGGTCAATTAAACTGAAGCCCCTTTAGCAGATAGTGTAAAAATTGAGATAGATAAGATAACCATGTAGCAGAATTAATTGTAACATTTATAAGGGGCTCCGACTAACATTTAATAGCAATTATTACTGTATATTTGCTTTTATATATGCAGCACAGTGTAGCAGCAGGTGCAGGGTATATAAATCAGAAACTTTTGAAAAACATAATTGTAACCGGAGTTTTTAATATTTGTGACTTCATTTACCCCTGTGCCAGGCGTTCGCGGACGGTGTAGCGGGAGCCATTGATGTTGAGCCTTTCTTTGCTGCAAAAGCAGCCACGTTTTACAATTAGCGTCCATCCAATGCTGTGCATCTTACTTTCTCCAATTAATTATGTACAAACCGCACAAATGTCGAGCCTAACAAACTAACTAAAAACAACAACAACTTATTGATGTCGCGCACAGCACAGCTGTTTAGCAAAAACAGGGCTGTTAACCGCGACACATGCAGTATGCTAACGTGGCGTTGCCACCTGATGCAATAACAGCAGTACAATTCAACTATATATTTTTTAACGCAATTTTAAACGTTTTTTCGTTTTAATAAATGATGATTACCACGGAAGATGTTTGGCAGGACCTTGTTGGTATTAGCGCTGATCCGCCAGACAGACGTGATAAATGCGAACGGTGCAAGTAAGTAAATACAGTCAAATCAAGCCCACTCTAATGCAAGGCCTTCTATAGACGACCCGTCGTTGTTTGCTGGTGCTCCTCACTGCCTCAGCCTCCCGTTGCGGTGGCATCCCAAATTGTGATTCTGCAACACCCTGCCGAAGAAAAACGTTCGCTGCGCACGGCTCTTATGCTGCAGCTAGGTCTAAAGCCTGGGAAATGCGTGGTCTACAAGGGCAAGCGCTTCCCCAATACTCGTCACCCACCTGAGCTGCAGCATGTTCTTGACTCGCCCCAGACTCTTCTACTGTATCCCAGCAAAGATTCGGTGCCATTAGAAGAGATTGATCGCAGCGCGGGACCATATACCTTGGTTCTCATTGATGGCACCTGGCCTCAAGCAAAGGCAATCTATGCCAGTAGTCCGGATTTGCACCGACTGCGACAAGTCAAACTCATTGCGGTGGGTGTAAGCGACTATATAATACGTACACAGCCTACTGAGGGCTGCTTAAGCACGCTGGAAACCGCGGCACAGTGTTTAGCAGTGCTGGAATCCCAGCCAGAGTTGCGCCAGGTGCTGGTCCGCCCACTGCATGCACTGTGCAAATACCAGCTGGACAATGGTGCCGTGGAGCATCAGTCGAAAGAGTTCCTGATGAAAACCAATCAATATCCCAAACCGATTGGTAAGAGGCTAAGTCGCTTATTGAACTATAGCAATACGGTCTGCGGCAGTGCCACGCCCCTTGAGCAACAGACGGTTACGCAGGAGTCTAGATGAGAAATACTATAATGTAGCTAATGTTTTGTGCACGGCCGTGGTTGCATATTTATTAAGTATACATAAACCATTTGCAATTTTGAAACAGAATATAGTTGTAATTAATATGTACATAATGATATTTAAACCATTGGCTTGTTTCGGGCATCCGTTAAAGCACGTGTCATGGCGCACTGTGCAATGGAGTAGGTCCTCACGCATGCATTCTTTTCATTAACTGCAATGTTTTATATTTTGCCTTATGTATATCTATCTGATACAGTTACTACTCCACTTACCGCCCTGCGACTCACAGTACTCAATAGAATCGCCCGTTGCTGGCCACATATACTTGCGCACCACGTTCGGATTCAGCTTAAAGTTTTCTACTAGTCCAGCCTTTTCGAAGAAGCAGCGGAAATAGCACTACGAAATATTTATTATCTGCTTTAGCTGTTAAATTTTGGAATGTGAGTCACATACCATGCTGGTCATGTCTTTCTCATCAGCCAGTTTACCCGTGTTATTGAACTGCAGCACATGAGCTAAAAGAAGTTTTTTTTTATTATTTATATAGGCGACATTTATTTAGTCCGCACTCACACATGGGCGTAATGAAACTTGCATTACAGCCATGTATTATCTCATCAAAATCAATATATTCGGGATCTCTAGCTGCTTGGGTTGTGGTCGACATGTCATCCACATCGCCATCGAAGCTGTCATAATTTATAATAAATATATCCCCGTTATCCCGAGCACTGAATGCATATGTTAGGCCGCCTTTGAGGCACAGAGTAGTCAGAAGAGCAACAGAAATTGATAACATTTTCTCAACGGTAAAGTGAGTTTACTGTAGAGCTACGATTCCAGGAACCCACTTTATATGGAATACGGGGATCCAATTAGATAAACAAACTTGTTCTACATGCAATATACAGTTTTGTAAACTTAATAATGTCTACAACAATGGCGTGATAACAAATTAAGTTAATTTACAATAAAAATTGACACAAAAGAAATCGAGTTCCGATTCTGACTGAATGACCTATTAGAATGAAGCTAATTTAATGAATTTACAATTTTCTTATTAAGTTTTTTTTTTTTAAATTAATAAACTAAAATAAATGTTTTGCATGGAAATCAGATATATATAAACATATGTATAATATATATCTTCCCATATAGGTATGACAATCGGACTGACTTCTATAGGCTTACAGTAGTTTTTCAGAAACTCAAAATTTGATAATGCGATTAATATTGACCTTTTCTATTTATTTATCAAATTAAAATGTGAAAAAATAGAGTACAGTTTTTGAACTAAAATTGCCCAATTTTGAAATTGAAAATTATAAATTATATATTCTGTCAAGTGAGGACCATTTGACCGCAAACGAATATTATAGAGTATGTCTCTCCTGAGATTAACATTCTTATTTTTTTATATACACATAATTTTGCTCGTATATAGATTGCATGGGCATGTTATGTTTTTTAAACTAGCCCTCTTCGACTTACCATAGGGTAGTAGGAACTCCTCAGCACAGGCTGTCCTGGCTTCCAGGAAATGCGCATGGAACTCACTTTGCATTTCCGGAGTATCTGATTCCACCTGTAGATCGTCAGCGCGCAGCCCGTTTAAAAACAAGCCACAGAGAAAAATAACTTTAAGCAATTGCAAGCGACACATCTTTGCTGCAGTAATAGGCAAAACGTTTTAACAGCTTAGAAATGGGCTTAGCTTTTATAGATCAGTCCAACAATTGATCAATTAAAATTATCAAACAACATTTTTAAACTAAATAGTTGCAGTTTAATCGAACAATAAATACATGCGATAGCAATATTCTCATTCATATAATACAAAATTAATAATATTTAAATGAAATGTTAAACGAAATCTAAAAAATTCAATGGGCTGTTTTTTGCTGTTGTCTTTTTCTGTTTTCTGTTGAAAACACGTTATCGAAAATTAGATAAAATAGCGTTAAATTAACTTAATGAGTGTCGGGAACTGTAGTATAGATCGCGCAACGAGGTCAGTGCTTAGAGTGAGGATCATAACATGTAGAAATAGCTGAATTAGTATAGCCAAAGGTTTACAATTTACAAGTATATAATTTTACAATGATATATAGAATAGTTTAGTGAGTTAGCCTTATAAATAATTTCGCTCAATTTTCCAATAATTCTTCATGGAATTATTTTTTTTTTTTAAATTACTCTATGCAGCGTCCACGTTGCATCCACACGTCAGACCTTGGCTCCCCAGGCCCGTTTCAGCAGGTAGGCGCCTTTCTCGGCAATCATTACCGCCGGCGCATGTGTGTTGCCCGACGTCACCTTAGGCATAATGCTGGTATCCATGACGCGCAATCCTCGGATGCCGTGCACCCTTAGCTCGTGATTGACAACGGCCAGAGGATCCTGAACTGGACCCATCTTGCAGCTGCCAGCCTGATGATTCTCGGGTCCGGTGTTCTGGCGCACCGCACACTCCCAATAGGCATCGCTGCCAAAGGTGTGCGATTCGCAGCCCTTGACAACGGTTTTGTCCAGCCGCATGCCATACTGTTTGAGAGGAGAGCTCTGGGACAGCCTTATAGCAAACTTGATGCCCTCCACCAGGGTCTTTACGTCGTGCTCATCGGTCAGGTAGTTTGCGAAAATGCGAGGAGGATCTAGTGGATCGGAGGATCTTAGCTGAATATAACCACGGGATCGGGGATTCAGCACTGCCGGAAATATTTGAATGGAGCGTGAGTTGTTTGAGAGCAATTCACCCACTTGACCCGTGCGTGCGCAGCTAGCCAAATAGCCGCCAAAATAGAGCTGCAGATCTGGCAGATCCGGTCGCTGGGCCCAGCGGGAGGACAGCTTAGCGGTGACATCTGAAATGCCAGTGCCTGACATAAGGCCATCGCGGAACAGCAAATACTCCATGGCGGTGGCCCAGTTGAGTGGCGCGGTATCTGCATCATCGATCAAGAAGTTGGTGAAGAAGGCCACATGATTCTGCAGATTCTTGCCCACTCCCGGTAAATTGTGCACGGGTCGCACATTCACCTGCTTAAGCTCCTCCTTGGGGCCCACGCCACTAAGCAGCAGTATCTGTGGGGAATTAACGGCACCAGCGCTGAGCACCACCTCCTTCTTAGCCATTATCTTGCGTGAGCTGCCAAACTGATCGCTGACCTCCACGCCCAGCACGTTCTTCGTATGCGGATGAATTAGTATCTTGGTAACAGTTGTGTTCAACAAGATGTGCAAGTTGTTGCGCATGCGAGCGGGTCGCAAGAATGCCCTTGCGGAACTATAGCGAATGCCATTGCGCGCAGTCATTTGAGCGATCATGAAGCCCGTGGCATTCTGCCCGTTCAGATCCTGCACTGAGTAGCCCATTTCCTCGCCGGCCTTGAGTATGGCATAGGATAGTGGCGGGTTGTAGGGGAACTTGCCCACCGGCAATAGACCTCCTTTGGCATGGTATTCAGTGCCAACAGCATCCAGTTCGAGGTTGTCTTCGGATTTCTTAAAGAACGGCAACACATCGTTGTAGGCCCAGCCGGGATTGCCTTGTGCCGCCCAGTCATCGTAGTCCTCACGATTACCGCGTATATACATCATGCCATTCATCACCGATGTGCCACCCAAGACCTTGCCACGTGGCCAGTAGCAGCGCTGCTCCATGGAGGACAGGCAAGCCATCGGCTCTGGCTCTGTGTTGTAACGGTAGTCAATGTCACTGCCAATGAAATTCAGGAACATGGAGGGTATTTGAGCACCCACAGGTTCATCGCCACCTGCAGAGTAGCAGACAAAGAACGATATTAATTAAAACAATTATTTAATAGTCTTAACAGTTCAGTTCGATTACTTAACGCATTGTCTTGAGGGTTAATCGTCAAACCTGGTTTACATTTAATCATTTTTATAATTTATAGTATATACTGAAAACGATTGCAGTAGTAACTCATACATTTTTATCTATCCAACTTGATTCTATATAAGCAAGGGAACATAGTTTCGAGCTGGGTCTGCGTACAAAGTAAGTATTATGATATAGTTTATAGAGAAGAAATTGGTCGACTCGATGGTTTTTCGTTTAACTTTTAAGTTTGATTAAAATGTAGTTTGATTGGGAGGAAATAGTAACTGCTACAGCAGCTAATGCGTCCTTTGTTGTTTGTGCTTATTAAGCCGTAAGATTAACGGTTTAATAATGGTTCTGTGACTAATAAGCCAGTTGGCCGTAAGGGAAACAAATTATGTAGATCGATTCACAGAAAGTCGAATTGTCATTTGAACATTTGTTGATACTGTCTAAAGGTGATTCCTAATTTTATTTTTGTATTCTTCTTTAAGATTTGAATCAGCATTCCAGAATTTCCGTTTTGCATGCGCACACGACTTTTTTGGCAATCCAATGCTCATCAATTAATTAAATCAATTCAAATAAAAGGGTATCTGATTGCTATTTAAACCGTGGGAGCTTTAAAATATACCGCAAGCTGTCTAAATAATAATTTAGCTTGTCATTTTGTCAGTTGGAATGAAAGGAAAACAAATTAGCTCCAATTGTAACAAATTGCGCGGAATTTAACAAAAAGTTACTTCGACTAATAACTTGTTCTACAAAACAAATCCATTTAGTATGTTTATATGCTGCACACGTAATAAAACAAGATTCTTTCACAATTGATCTGGCGGCGAATTATTATTGTTTACGTCGCGAGCAACAAAAAATAAGTAATTAGCACACGAGACTTTATTGTATTTATGTATTTTAGCTTGTATTTGTTTACAGAACGTAAACGCTTGGAAATGACATAAAACATATAAATAAACACGCATATTATCAATGAAGTAAATAAGCAAAGACTCGACTCTTTATACGATTTTCAATTGCGAAACACAAATTAGTAATGTTAATATAAATAATTAGATAGAAGATACAAACCTCCAATCAGCCTTTAAAGGAGAGTCAACCACCTTTTCGATATATATATATTATAAGAGCGCAGTAACTGAAGATCATAATGAGCAATTTGTGCAACAACGCCAAACCGTAAAAAAAATCTTTAGAATACAAACGGAAGGCGTGGAATTTTGTATTTGACGCATATTAGTTTTAATACACCCAAGTGCCAATGATCAAGGTATAAAGACACAAACTTGCGAACATTCAAAAAGTAACCTGTGCCGAGATAGCTTCTCACACTTTTTTAAATTTGAATAAAATATTTATTATACATATATATAAAACATATAAAAGTTATTTTGACCTCAACGAAAATACATCCGCTTGATGATGTACAACTTTTGCGGATGACCGGCATTGAAAATGAATAATGATCCAAGAAGCAAGGCTTCTATTGTCAGAATTGGAAATTAAAAAGTGTCAACCCCGTGATTAAGCACATTATGAGTGTGCAGTCGAATGGAACTAACGCACTTGCCATAATCACGAGCACTTAACAAGCACTCATGGTAATATAATATGGACAAGTAGCTAATTGTTGTAATTGCACTTTAGCCATTGCTAGATCATTAACACCAACGCATTGTCAACTAAAACTTACTATCTGTGTACTTTTTTCTTTTTGGCTTTCAGCTACAGTTTGCCAATTATTATAATTGGTGACAAGCCATAATAATTGTTGCACAATAATAACTAATTAAAAGGGTTACAAGTGACACTAACCCCAAAAACAACTCAAGCAGTGCCAAGTACGCCTGCCGATAAACCAATGTTAGTGTTAATGGTTGCTCAAGGTTGAGAAATTAAGATAAATCATACTCCAGCTGCCAAATTAGCATCCTTATCAGT